GGCATTCGTATCGCGGCGGCGCCACGAACCAGGAGGCGATTGAGAAGAGCAAGTTGCATCTCAGCGAGGTCATATCGGTAGCTGTCACAGCAGTTTCGGTTCGTGAGGCCGCTCGCCTCGATGATTTCATGGCTTTGGCTGCTCCATGGAACCGCAGCCTCCCTGACCCCCAGGTTCGGGAATCCAACCACGTGGGCACAAGTGCGCCTTAGATCGAAGGGGGCCCCCATTTCCCCCAGGCCCGCTAGCACGTTGTCATTGCCCCGTTCCTCGTCGCAGAGAGGGCGCTTGTGCTTGCGTGGTTGGGTGGCCGAGAGGTGGTCAGCGCTGGGACTGGAGCAGAGCTGTATAACATGATGCTCAGAGAGTTTCGAAACGTTGGCTGCGAGCATTGGATGACCCCACCACCAGAGGGCACGGTCAAGCTGCGTGCGATGTGCCTCGACCACGGACCTGACAACCAAGGGGCCACTGGATTCATAAAGAAAGCTGTTCTTCGGGATATGCCGACGGCGATGTTCAGCGTAGCCTTCTGCTTTTTCCACCAGTACCACCTCGTCGTTCAAGATGTGCTAAAGACGCTGGATGGATTCACGTGGGCGAATGCTGACTTCGGTCGGCCATATTTCTCGGCCCTGTCTATCATCTGCAACTGTTGGCGAACAATTGGGCATCCCAAGAAGATCTACGACCGCACGAAGTGCGATTTCGGCATTGGTGCGGCAGAGGTGTATGCGAAGAAGATCTCCGCGCGAGCACTTAGAGGTCGTTGGGGGTACGCTGATGCAGTCGAGACGTTGATTAACACAGGGTCGAACGTGTTGTCCGCCGTGTTCCCCAATCTCTTCAAGCCAGCCGCGGCCGCCGCGAAGGGGAAGGCGAGGGCTGCCCCAGCGCAACCTGGCGGTGACTTGGCAGACGATGATCGTGAGCGGAAGAAGCAATATACCCAGATTTCAGGTGCGTTGATGGGGTCTGACATGTTCCGAGCGACTCTCAGGATCAGCTTGATTGCGAAGGGGCCTCTGACTCATTTCTTCAATTGGGCCAAGAAGCGGCGACGCGAACTCTTGGTTAAACGGGCGGCCGCTGAGCGGGATGGCCACGCCCACTTTGGAGCAACATTCCTTTCGGACCTGGTTGGGTACAAAGCTGCAGAGATTATGGCTGATATATCTGGGCTTCTTGCCACTGGTGAGTTCGAGCGAAAGTGGGCCAGCGTGTGGCAGCTCGTGGGCGGCGTCGGCATCCAGGACGCGAGGGTTCTCATCATTTCGCTGGTGCTTCAATCGGCTCGCGCATGGAAGATGCGCTTTCTAGATAAATTGGAGCGCTTTCCCCTGCGATTCCTTCGGTGTCTCGAGAATGGCCCCCGAGTTGATTGCGATGTCAGGCGGGGCGTTGCTGCCGACCTACTGGGTGCATGCGGCGGCTGTCTCCAGAGAGACCATAGCGACATTGCCGTGAAGGCGAGGGATCTGTATCTGGGCGAGTGGCGACATATGCAGGCGGCTGGGGCGTGCCCTGCAGGGCTCTTCAGCTTCCTCCTTACTTGGAGGGCCTTGCAACAGGGGGACACCCAGGAGGTCGAAGGGCGGAGCAACGTGGTGCAGCTGATAGCGAGGAGGGCTCCCACGATCCGCTTACCATTGGCAAGCGCAAGGATGAACCTCAAGCATGGCGAGAAGATCTCAGTGGAGGAGTGTTGCTCAATGGTCCAAGCAATTGCCAAGGAGCGGACATCGGAAAGATACCAACGCCGCTTCGAACCAATCCCACTCGATTACCCGACATGCCACCCCTGCGTGGATGCACCCCCCGACCAAGTGTGCAGGTGAATTCGAGACCCGATAAGTAGGAAGAGCATGCACTTCGCGAGTTGTGCGTCAGATAGTGGACTGTCAGTTGGGGCTCGACACATCTACGTCGTCCAGGAGGTCGGGAGGCACTCCTTAGGGGACGTCAAGCAACTGACTGAGGCCTTCACTGTGAACCTCTCGTACAGGAAGTCCTTCTGGGCAGTGGCAGGGGCGTTGTCTGTGCGCGATGGCGAACTTGAGTTTTGCCTGGGCATGCCTTTGCACGCCGAGAAGTTGCACGGACACTTCGACCGCGCAGTACGACGTACTCTGGAGAGGTGGCCCCGCAGTTCCATGCGAAGCATCAATGCGATCGGCGTTGGGAGGTTGGCAGTCCACTGGAAGTCTGAGAATGGTGCCATTGTTGACTTGGCCTCTCTCCGCGCTCTTCGCCTTAAGCCGGCCGCGAAGGCCAGGGTTCCACGTGCTGCTGGCGATGGCGCGCCTGGTGGCCACGCCGCCATTGGGGGCGCCGTTCCTGCAGGGCCTGGAGATGGGGGAGGCGATCACGAGGGGGCATCAGACGAGGACGGTGGGATCGACCTGGATGCCGCAATGGAGGAGATCATAGGCGACGACTTCGGGGAGTTCGGCGTCGGCGAGGAGAGCGCCGACTACTCCGAGAACGCTGCTGGCGCGGCGGGTGGAAGCGATGCGCGAGATGACGTCGTTGAGGATTTGGACTTCGGGGATATCTCGGTTTCGGTTACCTGCCGCAGCCCTCCAATGCGCCGCGCTCCCCCGAATGGGGGCCCACTTCCCAAATCAAGCGCTGACCGCTGTTGTTGCCCATCCCACTTCCATTTTCTTCTTGGGGCTGAGCGGGGGGGCGCGGCGCATGGGGGCGCGCGGGGGGTGGGCGAAACCGCCGGGCCCCGACCGTGCACCCCAGGGTCGTGCATTACATCTGCGCTGGTGGCATCCAGCGGGCACCTATTCTGGATCAGACTTGCAAGATGTGCGCTAGCAACGCGGAGCTGGTGGCCACAGCCAGAGAGCACGCGGCCAAGTGTGCGGAACACATCATACAGCATGGGGACATCTCGTTGGTAGAGGTGAAGAGGCCGCTGGACGAGGACACGTTCGACCACCAGGTGTTGTTCGTGAGATGGGAGAGGTGCCGAGGAGCGCCGATGACTGGCAGGCGAATCCGACTCGACCACAGGCGCGGCATCATCTTCAACGTTGCGCACCTTGTTGAGCTCGAGGAGTGGCCGAGCCCAACGACGAACATCCTTGCGCGGAAACTCCCCGTGGACATGGTAAAACGCAAGGGTGTCGACCGAGAGAAAATGCCACACTGGGCAATTGCTCTGCAGAGACCTGCTCAGTGCCAGGAGTTATGTGGGCCTTTGGCTGTTACTGAGGCTGAGGTCGAGCACGATATGTCAAGCATGCGTGTGTTATGCAAGTGTGCGTCAGATATCGACCCAGATACTCTTGTGTATGGGATTGAGTTGCCGACGTATGCGTGCACCCGCTGCGCCTCCAGGTGGCACGCGTGCTGTGCGAATTCGGTAGCTGATGCTGCCAATGCTGACTTGGAGAAATTCGTTTGTTTCTTTTGTCTGTAAGTCTGCAAGCCTCACACTGTGAGCCGTGGGCGAGGCGCAAGCTTCGAAAGGAACGATTGTGGGAGTGGAGGAGGGGGGAGAGGAGCACAAGGGATAATATTACCGATACAGATTCTCCTGGGCCGTGCTCTTGGGCGTTCTGGAACGTCTGGTGGTCTGGTGGTCTGGTGGTATGGCGGTCTGCTGATCTGGTGGTCTGGTGGTCTGGTGGTCTGGTGGTCTGGTGGTCTGGCGGTCTGGTGGTCTGGCGGTCTGGTGATCTGGTGGTCTGGTGGTCTGGTGGTCTGATGGTCTGGTGGTATGGTGGTCTGGCGGTCTGGTGGTCTGGCGGTCTGGTGGTCTGGTGGTCTGGCGGCCTGGCGGTCTGGTGGTCTGGCGGTCTGGTGGTCTGGTGGTCTGGTGGTCTGGCGGTCTGGTGGTCTGGCGGTCTGGTGGTCTGGTGGTCTGGCGTCGTCGGGCAAACGACGACGCAAGCACGAGCAAATGCAGGCCAGCCCAAAGAGTTGGGGGAAATAGCGTACCAATCTAGTGATTGGTACGCTATTTCCCCTCTTAGGTTTGGGGGCAGCCCACTGCTGGCTTAGGTGCTTATACGTCATGTGCGTCAACATAGTTGATAATGGCGCAGTGTTTTTTATATTATCAATGGTTTTGATAATGCATGTGGTTTTATCAATGTAATTGATAGTGTGATTGTAGTGGTGGGTTGTTTATCAATGTGTTGTACAATTGCACGTTATTGTTATCACTGTGTTTGAAAATGGCATGTGTGACATTATCAACATGTTTGTTAATTCGGTTGTCTGGTGTTTGATAAGGTGTTTGATACTTGTGTTGCTATGCGCGCATGGTTACCAATGTGTTTGACAATTCGGCTGGTTGGTTGAACGGGTTATCACTATGTTTGGTAATGTGTGTTGCTATGTGCGCATGGTTATCAATGAGTTTGATAATTCGGCTGTTTGGTTGAATTGGCTATCGATATGGTTGCTAATTGATGTTGCTATATTGTCAACTGTGTTTGATAAGTGGCGGGCTGAGCGCATTTATCAATGTGTTCGATAATGTAGTCGTGGGGGCTTGGCTGCAACGCTCATTGTGTTATCAATGCGTAGGATAATTTCGTGGTCTGGCGAGGGCATAATCAACCAGTTTGAAAAAAAACCGAGGGCACCATTTTCAACCTCATTGAAAATGTGTCCAGTCGGCGCCCCTGTTTGTTCAATGCGTTTGATAATGCAATGTCGCCCACAAGGGGCGCGAAGATAATCGCGGTTCGCGCTTCGCGATCTGGGCTGGAGAGTTGCCATTCTACATCGGGGTTGGGGCGGGGCGCGAGGGCGCGACGATTCTTGTGCCTCGCGCTTCGCGCAGCGCGAAGCGCGAAGCTAGGCGACCTAAATAATGCATGCTGTGCTCGGTGACGTTCGGCGCTGGTGAGGCGCCCTCGAGGGCTCAGTTGGCATTTGGCAGAAGCCGTTGTGGCTCGGAAGGCTACCAGCTGCTGCGACCGAGGGTTGCAACCTAGACCCTGGAGTTGCCAGCGGGCTCGCGCCCGCCCGCTCAGGGCGCGATGGCGATGACGACCATCGTGCCGCACAACAGGGGCCAGCCATGCCACGACGACGACGATGATGTCATGTGGGACGATCGCTACCCTCACGTTCGCGTGCGTTGGCCAGACCTTGTGGGGATCACGATGCAGCAGGGGGTGACCCAGCTGTACTGCGTGACGGAGTCCATCTGGAACCCCGCAGCCGTGGAGACAGTGGACGGCTTGGTGTGGACATGCGATAGGAGCCCGTTCAACAAAAGAGGTGACGCAGCCAGCGTGCAGTCTCGCAAGCGCTCGGTCGAGAAAGTTGGCATCCTCAACGTTCGCGCTGGGCCGTGGGTTGTGCCGAGGGGCGAGATCGACATCACTGTGTACGCGGATAAGGCTTCCAAGACCACGAAGACTGTCACGCTCCAGCGCTACAATTTGCTCCACTGGGCCACGCTCTACGAGGGCTTGCAGGCTGCCGTGAATGACGACGGTAACGCTGGCAACTCAGTCGTGGAGGCGTCGTTGCGAGATGGCCTCCAGAATTACAAAGTGTTCTACAAGCGAACCCCCGCGTACGTGCAGGAGTACCTCGTCGACGTTGGCAACGAGACGAACGACGAGCAGAGTTCGCGGACTGCCCTCCAGGTGCTGATGTCCCATGACAGCGTCGAGTCGACCTTCTTCTAGAAGAAGAAGCTGTACGAGTGGTCAGTGGCAAGCTTGGGCCAGCGGCAATACGCAGAGAAGGGGTTCGAGGTCGCTGAGAGCACGTTCGTTAACCGTTGGCGTTCGAGCCACCAGCATGATCAGAGCCTCAGCGCATACAAAGAAGCAGAACATAAAGACAACGTGCTGCCCTCGGGCAAGAGAGTCTGGGACGCCGTGTGGGAGCAGAGCCAGGCCAGCGTTGATTGGATGCACCCCGCGATCAACGGCAAGCACTGGGAGGTCATCGACAACTTCGTGCATTGCATGAAGATCGTGAAGAAAGGCTTCCCTGGCTACGCCGTGGACTTGTTCCTGTTGTCGTTGCCCCGCATTCCGACCGCGGTCGCGGGGGTCTCAACCTTCCTCCCGCAGGGCCTGGGCACCAGCAAGTTGCACTGTTTGACCGAATTGCACGTCGAGAATCTCTTGTTGCCCATGGAAGGGAGTACGGCGCTGAAGGATGTCGGGGCAGCGAGGGTGGAGGCTAGCGACAAGAAGAAGGCGCACAAGAGGCGTCGGACCGTTGCTCTCGAGGAAAGGCCTGGACGACTTGACTAATTTCTTGGATTACTGCTCTTCTAAGCTCAGGTGCGATGCAGACGCGATCAACAGCATGAAGTATATTTCAATGTATGCGACTTCCACTGGCTCCGTATGCCTCTACTCTCAGCCCAGCGGCCAGAAACAGACCGTCATCACCAAGTGGAGCATTCTGAGAAAGATAATGAAGACGGATGCTTATCGGCGATCCCAGCTTCAGCCGAGGCCGACGGACCCTGACTTCAACGTGGGCGAGACCTTGGACGCCGCGCCGATTCAGGACGACGTTCACGCCCCCCCCGAGGGCATGATCTCCGACTACTTGCCTGTCGTCGGGGGCATCGTGGCGCACTTGAAGAAACACCCGCCCGATGACGAGGAGTCCTGGAAGACCATGGTCGCCCAGGGAGTCGGGGCCGTGGTGATGAGTAGCATGGCCAAGATCTACAGAGATAAGGGCTGCAGCCCTGGGGCTGCTTCGAAGTACGTGGTGGAAGCGGCCGCAGACTTCGCGCTCACGCTACTTCCCTTCAATGTCGACGTAGACTTCGAGAAGTTGCTGCGGGCGATCAAGGACATGAAGTCGGATGTTCCCGAAGCGTGCCAGCAGCTCGTGATTTTCCAAGGGAAGGGCTTTCTCAAACCCAAGTCCACGCGATGGAATCTCGCGATTCGTGTGGTGTGCGAGACGGGCCAGGTCAGAACTCCCAGCGGGGCCCAGGTCATCGGCAATGAGGTAATAAAGGTGCTCGAAGTGTGCAAGGACTCGTTCAAGTTCTGCAGTGGTGCGCAGGATGAAGAGCCCTGGGTGGTTGGGACCGAAGCAACCTACAACCTGGCGTTCCACGATGCCCTCGACAAGCTCTACGGCGCAGTTCTGACGTTCGTGGCCCACGACACCGCGGCCCTCGAGAACGACGCGGCGGCTTTCAAGGAGAGGATTTGCAAGATGAAGGGCAGCAGGAGAAGTGCAACTTCTCAGTCCCGAAGTCGCACGACATGTTCCCTGAGCAGAAGCAGGCCGTGCTGAATGAAATCGTGAAGTGTTGGGAGGCCACCTACCCCGGCTTCAATATCGTCAAGCTCGCTGGCCGCTGCGTGAAGGGCGAAGCTTCGCCTGCCGATGTCATGGAGGTGGGCCTGCGTCTCTCGATGCCAGCTCCGCCCGCGGGTGCCGGCGCCGGGGGCGCCGCCGCGGCGGCGTCGAGCGGCGACCTTCCCGCGGAGGTCACCTGCGAAGACGACGAGGACAAGACGTACTACGTCGATCAGTGGTTCAAGAAGGCGTGCGAGGCGGAGGTTGGCATTGAGAAGGAGGTGGAGCTCAAGCCGCCAGGGGCGGGTGCGGTCGCATCCCCCCCATTCTCAGCGGTTTTCCTTCGCCACTTGATCAACCAAGTGCAGGAGAAGCTCTTCCCGCTGCACCTTGATCCCAAGTTGCAGGGGGTCGGCTTGGAGAAGCTGGTGCTGGAGCAGAAGGCGCACTCATCTTCCACGGCGATGGTCATCAAGCAGAGCGAGCCTGGCGACGTGCAGCTCAACTTTCGCGGCAGTGTGGTCGAGTACGAGGAGACGCGCGGGTTGTCCGAGTCGTCGCTGCTGCACCTTGGATCCTCCAACGGCGTTTCGCTCTTCCTCAACGGCAGCAGGTTCCAGAACTTCGAGAGGAGCGACTTTAACTTGGCCTGGCTGGTGAAGGTGGCCCCAGACAAGAAAGCAGACGATTCGTCATCCCACGCGCCCGAGGTCAAGAAGAGGAAGAGCAATAAGAAGGAGGCGCCACCCGTGATCACTCACAAGTTGGCGTTCGAGTCGGTCGAGTTCGACCTGGTGGACCCGAGGACCGAGCAGGTCTACGCGTTCTCGTTCAAGAAGCCGCTCCTCGTCCCGAACCCCGACCTGACAGACGACCAGAAGATCGGCGAGCTGCTGCGCGAGAAGGCCGTTGGCGTCGGCGATGTCATCGCAAAGAAGATGCCGAAGGCTCCGACCACATCTTTCGCGATCTGTTGAGATCGTTGCCGACGGCAGCGGCTGCCGTTGGCCGTGCGACAGCAGCAGCAGCCGCTAGCCGCGAGGAAATCATGTGGGACTGGCATGATGATGATGATGCTGAGATGCTGATGATGATGGTGCTGACGATGATGATGATGTCATGGTGATGATGGCGAGGCTAGATCACTGGGCAACGAAAGAGGAGGACGAGGATGGGGAGGAGCTTTAAGAGGGCCCTAACAGAGCTCTAAGGGGGGGCCCAGGAGGGCCCAAGAGGGCCGTTCCTTGTTGGGGACGCCGTCGCTAGTAACTCGCACGGGCCCTGGAACACGCACGCACACACACGCACGCGCGCGCGCCGTTATCGGTAACTCGCACGGGAAAGATCATGCCAGTTTTATGTTGCCCCCTGTTGGGCGTGTATCTGAATAACAAAAAAACTATTGGTAACTCGCACGGGTCCTGGAACACGCACACGCACACGCACGCACCGTTACTGGACACTCGTGCGGGCCCTGGAACGCACGCACAAACGCACGCACACGCGCACGCGCCCTTCCCAATAAGTCGTACGGGCCCTAGAACACACGCGCACACACACGCGCACATACACGCGCCAGTACTGGTAATTCGCACGGGCCCTGCGACACACACACACACGCACGCGCGCACGCACACACACACACATGCACACACATTCACACACATTCACACACACACACATTCACACACACACACACATTCACACACACACACACACACACACACACACACACACACACACACACACACACACGCTCACGCACACACACGCACACACACACGCATGCACACACGTGGATGACTGTATGAGGCTGGCTGGCCCACGCACGCATGTACGCTGTTACTGGTAGTTCGTGCGTACGGGTCCTGGAACACGCGCGCAAGTGCGAGCGAGTGCCCGTGCAGCCGAGCAGGGAAGAGGAACAGGAAGAGGGGGGGCAGGGGGGGGGAGCCCGAAGAAGACGAGGAGGAGGACCGCGGCAGAGGGAACTGCGAGGGCCAGGAGGGGGGGGGGCGCGGTGGCGGTGCCCCAGGACCGCGGCGGCCGCGTCGTCGTCGTCGCATCCTCCGCCTCTTTCCCCCCCGTCCTCCTCGAGGGTGGTGATGTTTTTTCGTCGTTGTTGTTGAACGTGTTGTTGAAAGCGTTGTCGTTGTTTTGCTTGTCGTTGTTGTTGAAAGTATCCTTCCTGTCGTTGTTGCCGTTGTTTTTGTCGTTGTCACCGACGTTGTCGTCGTCATCCTCTTTCTTTTTTCCGTATCTTCTTTCTTTTTAACCCTTGGATGGTAATGCCAAGTGCTCTTCTTCACCCTCTATCGTACCTATTTTGGCTTAAGGTTGAACTGCTTGGTTCTGGCGGCTTGAACTTGGTTATTGTCGACGGGGCTTGGTTCGATGTTGATTGTTAACGAGGTAGCGGGTTCTCATTGTCTAAGGGCGGTTCCATGCGTGCTCTTGGCCCATTGTACCTAACGCTCGCCCGCCGCTGAGGTCCCTGGGGTCTGTCACCCCCTCCGTCTGGGCCACAAATCGCCCGCTGCAGATGCTGACGTCGCCCGCGCCCTTGCGCCCAACTGGAGTTCCACGCCCCCCAGGGCAAACCAAAACATCGATCCAGAGTGACGGGGGGCATATTATACTTCCCTGGCACCATCGCGGAATCCAGACAGCGCGGGCGTGAGCAATCTCTCAGGGCGCGGCCCCCCCAGCTCTCCGTGCCCAACCGGCCGCCCTGCCAACCCGCCTTCCCCCGCCGAGTGCCCTCCGTCACCGCCGAGAGGGGGGGGGTGTTTCTTACCAGCGAAAATCGGAAAACTAACCCTCCCGGGGACCGGAGGGACAGCGGGGAGGGGACAAATCGCGCCGCATTATGCAGGGCCGGGATTTGCGCCGGGGTGCGCCAGGCACGGTTGCGGGCTTCAAGTGTGACACGTCCACCGCGCCCTCTTTCTCAACGGTAAGGCTCTTATCCTTGAATCTGTCGCCAATTTTGAAGCCCCGCGCATGGCTTCTTCGAGAGCCGCCAAGAGGCTCCAGGCGGCATCAGGAGGCATCAGGAAGCTCCAGGAGACTTCAGGACCTCTTGAGAGGCCGTGGGAATCCCAAAGAGATTCCAGGACACTCCAGGAGGTCCCGGGATGCACCGCGAGGTCCCACAAGGCCCCGGGAGATCCCTGCACGCGCCGGGCGTATCTGGAACGATTTAAAAAGTTCCAGAACGCTGAGGATGCCCCTGGAGGGTTGAGGATACCCTGACGAGGAGAGCCCACGAGGTTTCAAGAGGCCGCAGGGTCCCCAGAGGTTGCTGCCCCAGGAAGCCCATGGGATTCCAGGAGGCCCCATGAGGCCCCATGGTCTATCACGCCCGAGGTAGGGAGGGGGAGGCGGGGGAGGAGGAGGAGGAGGAGGAGGAGGAGGAGAAAGAGGAGGAGGAGGAGGAGGAGGAGGAGGAGGAGGAGGAGGAGAAAGAGGAGGACGAGGACGAGGACGAGGACGAGGAGAAGGATGACGAGGAGGAGGACGAGGATGATGAGGAAAGCGGGCAGGCGCCCCTAAACACTGGGAGCGCCGAGCTCGTATAATTGAAAGGGACCGTGGCCCTGGGGGCGTGCGTCCGTCGTAAATTTCGAAAGATATTTGCCCTGGGGGCGCAAATCCAGGCTAATTTACAAAGGGTTTTGGCGCTGGGGGCGCGAAATCCGCATAAGTTACAATGGGTCGCGGTCCCTTGGCGCGCCCCGTGCCACGTCCCCTGGCCCCAGGCTGCCCTGCAGGAGGCCCCGGGATACCCGGGAAATAAATGTGCTCCTCTCCGCCTCATCATAACATTGTTTCTCTCGCTGCCTGCCTTGCAGTGCACTGTCTGTATTGTTACTGCGGTACCAACTCGCAGCTGTTTGTGCTCGAAGGAGAAACAGGAGCGAGCGTGCCTTCGGCTGCCGCGCGTCGTCGGTCGTCGGCCGGCCGGCCTCCTCCCTGACTAATCTTGAGTACAATTGCTTACCGGTTAACCACTGTCTTATCGATGTCTCTTCCCGTGCCCTCTACCACAAAGCAGAGTGAACGTGAGACCTTAATTCCTTTGTCATCTTACCCCGATTCTCAGAGGAGAAACTGGTTATCAGCCGAAACCCGCGACCAGGTCGCATCAGGGATGAGCTATGATGAGACAGCCGAATTGCCCACCAGAGACGAGCTCAAGACACAAGTTGCACAACGTGACGGGCAAGTATTACAGGACGGCGGCCCGGGGAGGGACCGCCTTCCCTCTTCTTCTATCGCCACCCATGTCTCTAGGGGCAGGAGTAGGGGAGATATTGTAGATTTGTCCAGAGACGATTCTCTTTCTCGGATTCTGAGCGGAGATCGTGATCAGACCCCGGATCTGGCCAGGCGAGACGGCACAACAGCAAAGATCCTACGAGGAGCTTTCTCGAGATCGTGAATAGCCGTATCTTCGGAAACGATAAACTCCAGCCCGATTGCCGCGCGGACTGTCGTACCGGCCGCTGGCCAAGCCAGTGGGTCGGGAGAAGATGAAGGGCCCAGAGGCGTATGCCCCACCGTCCCAGACGGATGGGGAAACGCACAAAGGGCGCGCCCAATCCCGATAGCTTTGAATGGACAGACCGGCCAGAACAGTGACGAACAATTTGATGATGGAGATGATATTGACTCCATGGAGAATGACATCGAGGATGCCAATTATCAGGTGTCAATCGGCCGAGATTTGTCCTCAATAATGGATGCTGACCACCCCGTCGAAGACGAGAGGTGGTCCCCCGGGCAAGAGACGATTGATTACGATCAGGTGGAAGCCCTTGGGGCAGCATTCACAATGCCAGATTCGGACATTGAGATAAGCGACCTGATGCCCCAGGCGATCGAGGTAGAAACCGAATGCCCAACGCAAGCGAAGCATGGCCGGGAGATCACAGGACGAACTCCCGCCCCTCAACGAAAGAAGCAAAGGAATGAGGATTATGACTTGAACGACTCCCCGCTTCCAGAAGGATTTCATCGGACTGCCGTCGCCCCAGGCGGTTGGCAACCGTCGATGCCCATAGTAGTTGAGGGCGATGAAATGATTGAACCCCCAGCTTCGCTCAATGAGTTGATACGGCAAGACGAGAGGGATGAGGAACTTCGAGAGGTGCCAAAGCCGCCAGAGAGCACGCACCTGCGTCCCAGATCGAACGCCTCGAGCCGAGGAAGACGCAATATACCCAGATCTGGAGCTCGATCAACATCGAGGAGCAACAGCGCGATATCGACGCGCGAAACATGCTGGAACTATGGCCCTAACTGTTCGCCCCAGGCGGAGAACAGATGCCCAGGGAAAGCCCGCAAGCCTGAAGGAGCCTGTAGACGTCCAGTATGTACATATTGCTCAGGCGCGTGTACTAACTGCAGCAATCAATGGTTGTGCGTGGACTGCATGCCGATGGAAGAGCACAGTTGCACTTGCCTTCATCTCCAGGCGATGCAAGGTCAGGTTAGATATGTCGAGGCCAGAACACAGCAATAATTTCTGGCCCGCGACGCTCGAAGAGCAGAGAAAGCCCGGCTGGATAGAGAAGAGATGCATGCAGTCGTTGAGGTCTTTCGGAAGACGTTCGAGGCTGAGACACTCGCCATGGCCCAGGCGGCCAGAAAGCGAGAACAAGAACTGCTGGAACAGATGTCTTATCAGACCACGGCCGCCAAGCGGATCGCGGAGGAAAAAGCTGAGGACAGATATGCCGAAATGATTGCCTCCGAAAGACAAGCCGTCATTACGGCAAATAGCCAATCTGCTGGTACCAACGCAGTGTCCGCAGTTGTTGCGGCGGCAAGAGTAAAAGGAGAGAGGGTCGCCACAGCTAGGGAGCTAGGGCAGCTCGAGAACAGCAGGAGCTCCAATAACAACTTCAAACTGCCAGGTTGGAAGCGGTCAACGCACAAGTTG